TAGCAAATGCGGTGGTCCGTTTTCGTTTACCTTTTGCCTTTTCGTTAAAATTGTTTTTTATTATCTTACATAATAATTTCATAAATTCTCAGGAAAGGAAAATATGCAGTAGACACACACATACACACATGAAAAAGATAGAAATTCCCAGTAGTGGATATAAGCGCGCATATGCATACATACATAGTAAGCGTGGCAAACAAACAAAGAGCTGATAGGAAGGGAAAGAGCTGCCCGCTGGCAAAATGCATAAATAATATGATGGTAGCAGCAGAAGCTGAAGCAGAAGCAGAAGCAGCTTTGAAGGCTACCGCAGGAATGTGTTGATGTAGGTTTGCTCGGTGGTAATGTGAGTCGCATCATCACCTCTTTACCGAAAAGCTCTTTGTGTTGTGGAGCAGACGCGCCGGACAGTAAGCCCCATTACGAAACCCTCTCTTGGCAGAGAGTTTGCCACCAAGCGAAAGCGTTAACTGACTGTCGGATGGCGGCATTGGCATTTTATTGCAAAAAAGTTGTTTTTGCTTTTGCTGTTGCTCTGCGCTTCCTGTAGCCTCAACGCGGCCCTGACAGTGGCAATAAGACTTGTGAAATAAATATATTTTTGATTTCGACAACGCAAATGTGGTATTTGATAGTGGAAGAGTATAGGAAAATATGTATAAAAATAATAATAACAAAAACAAAATAAAAAATCATAAGTAAAACAAATAAAAAATGAGCAAATAATCATCTGCCTGCATTGAAGGGCGACGACTGGCGCAGTCAAGCATTGCAATACAGATTTAGGCATGCGGACAAGCAGACCGCGCTCAGCACGACTGGCAACTGGTTAATGACTGCCGTTAGGGTCGTTTTTTTTGCCAAATATTTCTAGAATTTCATACCACAGCAGGCCTTGTTCTATTCATTTCTTGTGCTGCACTTAATGACAGTCGGCATGCCAGCAAGCAATAACGCCGCTGCTCCTTTTCATTTTCGCATTTAGATTTGAGAAAAAGTTTTCAATGCTACAGTAACAGTAATCATCATCAACAGACCTCAGCGTGGATGTCGACGCGGCCTCCACAGCTTGTCTCAACGTCAACTCGATAATGTTTGCGTATCTAGCATGATGTTGTTGTTGCTGATATTGTTGCATGATGTTGGTTAGTGGTTGCTGATGTTGATGTTGCTCAGGGCTATGGAATTGTCATTATTCTTTGTAAGTATTTTTTTTTTCTGTTGCTGATTTTTGCCTTCGTTCGTGGTCATGGTCAAGGTTATCAACTGACGTTAGCAGTTGGTATTTAACTTTCCAGTACTATTTCCTATTAAATGTGTTTTCTTTAAATGAGGGAGAGACTGTAGTAAATTTCAAATACACTGAAAAAAATTTAAAAGTTAGAAATTTCTCGGCTTAAGACAATTAATGGCTACTGCTGTTAAGTTATTGTTAATATGATAATCAAAATTCCATTAATAATAAATAATAATTTATCTAGTTAAAAACACAGTATTGAAACAACGAAAAGCACACGAAAACGTGACTACGAGTTTTCAACAACAAACTAGTGATCCAATTTGGCTAATAATACTAATATATGATAAATATATCAAATAAATTACCATAATCGATTGTAAACACCCCGCGAAAACTCGAAATTCACCTTATGTTTTGAACAGGCTACGCACAAGAAAACTAATAAAAATCGGCTGATAATTAAAAAACTAATCCAAAGTCCATTAGATCATACTGATTGCGGTAATTTTCATATTTCCTGTTATTTTCTTTTAATTTGGAAAATAATTTTTGTTTATATTTAATGACAAGAGTTTTTGTTTACTAAAAGTAAATTGAAAGTTCATCACTTTAGAGAATCCAGTTAAACAAGATATCAAAAAAAAAAAAAAAAAAAAAAAAAAAAAAAAAAAAAAAAAAAAAAAAAAAAAAAAAAAAAAAACAAGATGTCATTCAGTGGCAAATATGAATATTTTGTAAAAAATATATTGGTAAGGTTACTCATACGCCATGTACACCATACAAATTTAAAATACCTCAAATTCACTGATATGAAAACTCGATGAACACTAATAAATGAGACATACTTTAAAAAGCAATCTTTAAAAGGATTAATGGTTAAAGCTAAGCAAGCAAAAAGTCTAACTAACTAAGAGAAAAAAATATACAAACGAAAGTAATAATAATTGTACTATAAGAAAAATGTATAAAAAATTGTAAAAATAAAAAATGAAACACTCCTCGCGGCCATTAAAGTGTGGTATTTATGCGAAGAATATTTTTGTAAAGTTAGCAAACAGAAAGGCTTAAATATATGTAATATAAGCAGTAAAATACGACAAAGGTTGCAAAATACGTAAAACACATCTGAAAGGACATATGAACATAAAATTGTAAGTACCGACGCATCAAAAAACAAACAAAAGAACAAAAAATATGCTCGGCATAGCAGATGGTGTTCTTAAACCCATACACATACACATCATCCGCCTCGGCGATTTAGTGCAAGCATTTATGGATGCTCGCGCAGTTTCTTTTTTGTTAAAAAGTTATTTGCACAAAACAACAACCACAACCAAGCAGCTGTCCTTCTAATATAGAATACAAAACGACGACGGAAAGCGAATATCTATAAATTATTGTATACAGCTGACAGTTGTGAGAAGATAACAACTAGGAATGCTGCGACGCTAAAGCTACATATATAGCGCCTAAGGGTATGCTTCGAAATTGGGCGCGGTGGCGTTAAATACAACAAAACAACACCAAAGGCGTAGTGTGAACCCACTCAACTGTCGCCCGCAGTTAGGAGAAGAAAATTGGCGGAAATGAAAAAAGCTCGATGTTAATAAAAAAAGGTGGAGAACTAAACAAAAAACATAAAAAATAAAAAAAAAAATTGCACAACAAAATAAATAAAAGCGGGTTTGAAGGCTTTTCAAAGGACATGTGGAGAAAAGTGTGGTGGAAATGATTAAAAAATAAATGAAGATATAAATATTAAAAGTAAGTTGATTCATGGAATAATTCAGCAGTCAGTAGGAGACATTTTTGAACTATCAAAGCATACTTTTAATCTCATTTAACTGATTAAATGCGTTTAGTTGTAAATTTATTAATTACCGTTACTAATTATTTGTTATTTAACCCTTCATATGAAGAAGTACGATGATTTTTTTGTAATAAATACTTTTCACTTATTTTATTTTAATTAATTCACAATTATTTTAGTTTAGAATGTTATTTTATTCTGCAGCATTTTTTTTAATTTAAATTTTGTATTAATTTGGTTTGATATATATTAATATATGTATGTATATTTATTTTAAATTTTATTTTTATTTTATTTAATTAACGGTACATATTTTGTTTATTTTTTTTTTACCTGAACTACTTATCTTGGATATACATACACACTCGTATACAACTATTAACGCATCCACATTGTCGACTACGCCCTTGTCATCATCATCATCATCGTCACCGGCAGCAGCAAAAATAGTGTGGGCAGTCAGTGACTGGCATCTTTTTAGAAATGGCAATGTGTGTTTCACTCTCTGCAGTCTGTAAAAAGTTGTTGGTCGAAAAGTAGGGGAAAAAACTCAAAATACACACAATAGCATACTTTCGGGCACATAAACGCAGCATTCACGAATTAATGGGTACAATCGTTGTGTTTTTACTTTTTTTTGGTGCCATGACATTAATGCTACAATGGAGAGATGGAGGAAAAATGGGTTACAGTTTTTCTTTTGCGTTTGACTAAAAAATTTGCCAATTCATGAAAATGGGGCAAAATCCAGTATTTTTTCGCCCGTTGCCCAGCCATTAGACCAACAGCAAACAAGGGTTATCAAAATATTGCTGTCACCTTTTACGGGGGTATTTAAGTGGTCAAATTATAGCGATTTAGTAAAAAAAAAATACTTTCGAAAAAATATATTCACCTCCGAATTTAGTAGCACATCAGATGACCTTAGTACTTATTCAATCGATCTAAAGGAACCCCTATGGGGTGGATATATTCTTCTTAAGATCGGAGTGTGTGAGCAGGATCCTATAGTGTTTTGCAAAATATGTGTATGCATATTCGCCTGGCGAACAATTAGCGTTTCCTGTCAAATAAACTCCCCCAATCAAAAGGGTTCATCTGCTAATAATGTGCCGAACAGTCATATGAGTAGGTGGAAACGACCAAGAACTTGTATTTATATGGGCAAAATATAACCTATGCATGTTGGAAAAAAAAAATACAAAAAAATTTCAGGTTTTCTCTGAGCTTTCAACACAAGCCTTGGCAGCTCCGTTATTAAACTGCCGACAACAAAAAAAGTATAAATTTATATTATATTCAATTTCAAAGTTTTTGTATCGAAATTTGGTTTTGTTGTTCACCGCACGTGTTTGACAGGCAATGATAGCAGGCAGTAAAAGCAGCCTAGAATATTTTGCGGTTGAACAAATAACCGTCTATTCAATTTCACGCTTTTATTGCCTCTATTCGACACTAATTTATGTGCGACAACAACTGTTATGCGGAACAATGCAGAGATATGCAAGCGATTCAACGTAAACACCGTATTTCACATTTGATTTTCAATATGAAAATGAATTTCAGTTTGTAGAAATATTCTTTGCCACACAGGCTGTAAAGTACATATGTTGTGGCATATTGCATACTCACAGGCGCTTAATGTGAAATTTTAATTTTTTTCTATGCAAATAATATTTTATTCAGCAATATTTATTTATACGAAAGTTCTCACTGAAATCAAAAAAAAAAAAAAAAAAATTACAGCCAATTCAAACTTTGTTGGCCAATTTTTGCGGTCTTCATTTATTTAACGCATTTGTTGGAGCACTGAAAAATTAATAAAATCTGAATAAAGTTATGCGACTAAAATAATTTTTTTTTAATTATTGAATTAAATTTAGTTATATTGTAAATTTAATTCAATTTAATTTATTTTTTTTTTTTATTAATTTTTTAACAAAATTTAATTTAATTCAAAAAATGAGCAGTCACTAACATAGTTCATGTGAAAGACCGAATTCTACAAGTCCACGGACCGAGCAGATACAGCAATATAATACTAAAACATATATGTAGGTATGATCTTACATATATATTAAGCATGACATGTGCCAATTTTACTACTTCCATGTGTTTATTTCTGATATATGATTCTGCGAATGATGTTGGTTAATTAAATTTCACTGTTATAGCTCATGAAATGGCCATAAAGCTACTACGAATACACAAGCATAAGAAAATAAAAACAAATCTGAGAAGCGCTAACTTAACGGTTAAGCTCACATCATAGTAAGCAATATTATGTATATGTATTTGCTTTGCCACAGAAATATAATATATTTGAAAAAAGACGAAAGGTGTTGGTCAACAGCGACGGTGTCCTGTTCAGCGCACGCTTAAGCAACTGGATTTTCTTGAAAAGAAAACAATAATAATAATAAAGCTTGAGCCTTTTTTACTGCAGATATAAATTATTCAGACATTATTTTTATAATAAAACACTTAATTTTGAATGCCACATATGGCAGCCAACAGGAGCTTATGGTCGCAGAGAAACCTATAAAACGGAATTTCCAAATTTCAACAAAAATGTAAATATACTTGCAGTAAAAGATATCATGACTAGTACTACATAAAGTAGCTATAGAAGTACATAGTAAGCATATAACGTCACAACAATGTGATGGTAAATGAAATAGCTTCCAAAGACCATAAAAGCTTGCAAAGTTTGGCACATAAATTCTTCGGTGACTGACACTGACACTGACCACGTATGGCACTTAAAAATAGTTGCTCTTGACCAAACTTTCACATAGTATTCAAGAGAAGACAGCAATAACAACAAAACTTACCATAATGCTCTTGTCGTAATGAACAACGTATACCCAAAGTTTCGAAATCACTTACCTAAAAGAAAGAATGAAAATTAAAAATTTGATATTGTTTAATAAAAAATTTTATTATTATTATAGAAACTGTGATCTCTATGCAGCTATTATAAATATGTTTTCCATCCTTAATGTTAATATTATATTTATTCAATTGATAGTTCTAAACTCCGAGAAATGCAAACAAATTGGGTTGCCCCAAAAGAAACGGGCGATTTTTCATACAGACGGCGTTAAACATTTTTTCGAGCAGCTTGTGACAATTTACTTGTGTTTTTTTTTTTTTTTTTTTTTTTTTTTTTTNACGCGTAATTTTGTTTTTATTTGTTTATTTGCATAATTTGTATGGTGATAATTCCTTAAAAGAAACACAGTGCCGAAACTGATTTTTTTTTCAAATTCATTTCGGGAGTTCTTTCAATTAATCGAATCGGACCGCCATGTAGCTGATCCTGAGATTAGAGAGAAGTTAAGTATACCAAAATCAACAGTTCATAATGAGAAAAAAAGTTTCAAAATCATAAGTAAAAAAAATGTGGTAGTTGGGCACCACATAAATTGAAAGACATTCATTTAGCAAGCCGCTTCAACGCTTGTGATTTGCATCTTAAACGCTATGAATATTATCCGTGGAGATGAAAAAATTAATGGCTTTCAATAACACTCACTAAAAGAAGATTATGCTATCAGTTTGGTGGGATTGGAAGGATGGGGTATATTTTGAGCTCCCTCCAAGGAACGAACTATTAATTCGGTTGTCTACTGTGAACAACTGGACAACTTGAGTAATCCATCAACGAGAGGCAGCCAAAATTGGTCTATCGTAAAGGGGTCATATTCCACCAGGACAACGCTAGACCGCTCACATCTTTGGTCACTCGCCAAAAACTGAGAGAACTTGGCTGGGAACTGTTGATACATCCACCATATAACCCAGACCTTGCACCGTCAGACTACCAACTGTTTCGACGAGGCTATAATAGTGCACTTGGTTCAGGTTTCTTAAATAATGACGTTGTCGGAGAGATGGCGAAAGGTCAGGTAGTTGATTAAAGTTCATTCACATTCACATTCTTTTAAAAACTCGTCGGTTTCCTTGGGGCAACCCAATACTTTCATTAATTAGTTTTTCTTTTTTTAGATAAATTTTGGTTCAGAAATGATACGAAAAAATTAAGCGTTTTTTGGTCACTTTATATAGGGATATCCTCTTTTTGTTTTTTATTTTAATTAACATTTGCGGTAAAGTAAAGGGAAATAAAATGCATATAAAACATTTTTTTATGAAGTTCACCTTTTATTATAAATTTGGAACTTTTATGTGTGAAAAACTATATCAGTCGTCTTGAGAACTTTTGAAATCTTCGATACCTTTGAGGTAATTGTCGACCTCTTTTTGGCACATATTGGGCGTTGTCTTAGTCATAACTTGACGAATGTTGGCCTTCAAGTGGACAAGAGTTAAAGGTTTATACGGATGAACATGTGTGAACATAGTCATGATCTTGGCCGGGAAATTCCCTTCGTAATAAAGCCATATTGGTTCGTGTTGTGTGCCACATATCGTGAATAGTAAGTTGGTTTCTGGTTTTGTAAGTTCAAGGGGAAATAATATGCCGACAAAAAAAAAATACAAGCTCTTGAGAACGTCGGGAAATGCACACATTCTTCGGGTCTTCGGGTACACTTTCAATCACAGTAGCGATATTTTTACAATATTTGTAACCGATCCAGTGCCTTTAAAACTACAAAACAAAATTCTAATTCTAATTAATTTATTATTTAATTAATTTAAAGAATATCAAACATATTGAATCAAATTCGGACCGAATAAATGAAAGAAAAAAAAAATAAATAAAAAATATTTATAACTCTTATCCTGATGATCAATAGATCTTTCTTCCTAGCTTAACCCCAATTCAATATGCATCGCATTACAGATTGTATTTTTAAAAACGATTGGCAACTAAAGTCCGTGAATATTTGACTTGCGTAATATTGAGTTGAGGTACTATTGAGAAAGTGTTGAGAAGTGACTTTATTTTCAACTAAACCCGTAACGCAATTTAAATAAATTGAATTTATATTTCTCTGATTTTTTTTTTTTGGAAAAAGTTCGCCAATGCAATTTAAAACTTATCTCAATAGCTTATAAATTCATCATACTAAAGCAAAAAAGCCAAAATCAAAGGACCAGCTAGCTGAAATGAATCGCAAAAGTGAACAATGAAAAGCGAAATTGTTGTGAGCAAGTTTTAAATATGCTATCAATCAACGGGATATTTTTTCGCTTCCTCACTCCTCTAAAATAATAAAACATATATATGTAAGCGCATGAATATCTTATGTAATTTTCAAGTGCCTCATATTTTACCCACAACCGCTGACAATGATGAGCGAGCATTTATCAAACAAAAGTTAGACAGATTGTGAAGAAAAAGGATGATTTCAAACGCTTAGGCATACATATTTACATACATGAAACATGTATTAACTACAATATACATATATGTATAGATAAATGGCGCTATGTAACCGCTGAAGCGATTTTCGGCCGAGTTCCTCCTTCAATGTATTTCAACAAATGGAGGTATCAATGGCTTATTCTCTGCGGCCTTCGTACGGGGCATGGGCTTTATAATGAAAAACTTTCTATTTCAATGTCAGAATCGCAATAAGAAAAATTAACTTAATATTTTATTCTAATAATTGTTTTATAATTTTAGACGCTAGTCGGTTCAGCCTCGATCCTTTGACCTTCCACATGTTAGTACGCTCTGCTAATCACTCTGCCTTTGCGGCCACCCCGCCAGCGATTTGCATATGTATATAAACAAAATCCATTATCTGCTTCGTTTTACATCGCTAAGGCGACAAACGAAAATCCCCAAAAATTTCCGCCGCTTAAATGAGCCGAAGAGCGCTTTTAAAAGTGTGTTGGAATAAAAGGCATCGTATGAAAGCTATTACGCTGCTGCATGTATGTTTGTATAAACGCATTCGTGAGTGTTTTCACCGCAATTGGCACATTTCAAGCACTCAATTCACGTGATTCTGCATAATTTTAGTTTTAGTTTTTCTTCTGCAAAATTTTCGGCGAGTGTAAAGTAATTTAAATAACCCAGTAGGCGAGAAGGTTCTCTGAGGTCAATGTTTGGACCGCGATGGCATAGTATAGTTTAGGTGCCCTCTTCGGTTCATTCTGCTGAGCATAATAATTCACTTTCCGTCTTTTTCCAGTACTTTTCTGCGCACTCGCTCACTGGGTTTCCAAAACCCGCTCAAAGTGCGCCAATGTGAACGTAAGGGCGCTTGAATTCACACTTTAACCCACATGGGAGAACTCATTTATGTGTGTGTGTGTAAGCATAAACGAGTGTTCGCTTTTTCAACGTCAACACCCCATTAAACTCATTACGAAAACTATTATAAGACCAATATTTGTTGAGCAGCAAACTACACAAATTAGCCGCCAAAGTGATTTCTCACACATACAGAAGGACAATGCACTTAAGCATCCATCTGGAATTTCGCCTGCATTATGCGACTTCCGTATTATTGACACCCTCTAAAAATGAAAAAAAAAAAACAACAAAAAACTGCTCAAATACCGTTTTCTCGGCCACTTACAAGTACTTTACTCGCACACTTGGAATTAGTTCAAGGCAAATGCGAAAATTCGACTGAAGGACAAACAGTTGGCAGGACAGTTAGGAGGGAGGCATACAGGCAGGCAGTGATGCATTTTTAAGCAGCAGCTGTTTGCAGTCGTAGTTTGTATTGTTTGGGTTTATAGTTCTTTGGTGAGGCAACAAATCTACATTATGCAGGAGATTAATTTGCCGTATGCCATTACAGCACCGTTACAGCTGCGGTAAGCTAATTTGTAAGAATTTTTGAGCAGATGTCTATAGCGCCGTGGACAAGGTACTCTCAATTGTTTTAAAAGCTATTTGTGACATATTTGCAATTATGTTTTTAGTGAAGTGGGAGAGGAGAATGGGTGTAGAATAAGCGATAGGTGAGACATACGTGTAAGAGCTATTACTTAAAACTGATATCCAATTATAGTAATCTTAAATATAGTAGAATTGTTTATGTATTCTATGGAACATAATTAAATATAACAAAAGAGTAAAATAAATTGACTAAAATGAAATAAAGCAAAAGAAAAAAATATATATTGCGTCCAGAAAAAAGAAATCCATTATTTTTGCAATAAATGGCTCTAGTAACCTCTATCTCGCGTTCTATAAGTGCAATTTGATTGCACTTGATGTCGTTAGAAAACTTATATTTTGTACTAAAAAAGGTAATGACAGAAGTGTTGATCGCTAATACTGCAACAGACCATCATGCAAATTTTCGGTTTCGTGGAATTGGGTCGGGAAATTTGGATGCAAAATATCGTCCACTATGTGGGACGCCAGTTGTCGAATATGCCGATGACTGATCTTGAAAAGTGGATTACTCAAAGTGACTTCAAATGAAAACAGTCGTGGTAGCAGAGCAGTGATTGACGACCAGAAAGGTTTTGTGGTGTGTTTGCTGGAATTGCGTTTTAGCAGCACAACGCCAAATCACTCACATCGTTGGTCATTTATTAAAAGCTCCGAGCTTGGTTAAGAGTTTCATATGCATCCACCTTATGGTCCGGACCTTGCACCAAGTGATTATCAATCTATTTCTGTCTAAGCAAATTATTTGGCTGATGAAGAATTGTCCTCGAGAGAAGCCTCTGATTCTGCCAATTTTTTGTCTATGAGAGCGGCACAATGATACATCGAGCAAAACGGTGGATATTGATATAAATCGCATAATTCTGACCATGGTAGAGGAAGTGCTCAATTTAATGCAGATATAATGGAATGCTTTTTACTAGACTTAATAGATATATGTATAATCGCTGAAGCGATTTTCGGCCGAGATCCAATCTTGGCGGGGGTTGACATTTCTTACCGAGGGTCGATCGCAATTATAAAAATTTATCAGTGTTAAAAATTAATTTATTTACTTGGA